TTACTCTTCCAACCCCAGATTAGTCTGAAGTACATTCCAGAAAGCATATGATTTCATTTGTAAATACCTTAGTATGTATTTTTAAAAGATTGTTTTTCAAAGAATATAATCACAATACCATTATCATACAGAAAAAATTAATAATTCCTTAAAAATCAACCATGTAATTTTTTAAAACTTAGAAATAAACTGTATTTTAATATCAGTCTCCACCTTCTGAAATAGGTGAAAAATATTTCATAAAGCATTCTGATGTCCCTTAGGAGGTTACTTAGTATCTCAAGAAACACTGCATTTCAAAATTAAAAATTCACTGTGCCACAGAAACTCCTCCAGGGATAGATGAGGACATCCACAATGGAAGCAGCAAGTGGATAAAACATTTCACAAGTATTTACTAGAGTAGAAGAGTAACTTATACTAGGCTATGGGCTAACATAAAGGGTTCAAATCATTACCCCCAATTATACGACAATCCAATCAATATACAAAATGCTGATCTTAGAGCACTGATAAAGCCAGGGATTTGTTTGGTATAGACCCATTACAGACAGTACAGATTTTTAAGTTTCCCTTGGTGAAGTCCTATAGCAATGTGCAGCCATGTTTGACCTAAACTGTATCATGGAAAAAAGACAATTCTAAGATCTTCCAACAGGCAGAGGTACAAGCCATACCTCCTTACCTACTGTTCTTCCAATATTAGAAAGCACACTACTCTTCAAAATGCTCAGCAAGAAAGATAAACATCTTATTACATTCATATTCCATTGAAGTTCAATATGTGCCAGACAACATGCTAATTATCATGGTTGCTAAGGAGCGACCACAGCTGAGGAGCTAATGGTCAAAGGGAGAGGTGAGGAGGAAGAGAGCACCATAAAAACAGATTCATTTAATTCTAATATAGTTGGTGCTAAGAAAGGAAAATGCATAGATTGTAATATGAGCACAGGGAGGGCACAGAGCCTAACCATGGAGCTCGGAAATGGTTTCTGGGAGGACATAATCTCTGAGCGGTATCTTAGGTATTCAGTAGAATTAGCTAAACAAAGAAAGTGGGAAGGGAATTCAACACAGGGAACAGCATGAGCAAAGACACTGAGATGAAATACCATGACATGCAGGGAACCAGAGCTCAAAGTGCAAGGTAAAGAATGGCAGGAAGTAAGGTCCAAGGAGTAGGCAGAAGCTAGATAATGGAAGATCTTCTGTTCTATGTTCAGCTTGGCTCAGTGACTAGGAGCCACCCCAGGTATTAAACAGAGGTTGCACAGTTAGCTCAGTGTTTTGAGACTGAGCCCACAAGTGGCAAATCAAAATGATGGGTTCCAAGAGGTGAAGAATGGAGGGAGTTTGGAAGGAAGATCCTGGGGATCCCAATTAAAGCTATGGTGGGGAGGACGCACATGAGTAGATGAATCTGAGAAACATTTAGGAGATGAAACTGGCAATACTTCATGCTGAATACGGAGAGAAAGGAAAAAAGTATGTAACTCCTAGGTTTCTGGAAATTTATGTAAAGGGTAGGATGAGAGCTTTTATATATTAAAAGTTCATCTTAATCATCTTATATGTCTTCTGTTTTATTTTACTTGAAACTCTTTTATTTTTAATAGACATGTCCTCATCTTACCTACATTAACTTCCTTGGCATGATCCTTCCTAACATGAACCATTTGCTCTACAGGATAATAAATCTTCTATTTCCTAAATATGTTAAGACATCTAAAATTTGGTAGAAAACACCCTTGTTCTAGGAGGCTGAGGCAGGAGAATCGCTTGAACCCAGGAGGTTGTGGTGAGCCGAGATCACGCCATTGCACTCCAGCCTGGGTAACAGGAGTGAAACTCCATCTCAAAAAAAAAAAAAAAAAAAGGAAAACACCCTTGTTCTGAAATTTTGAATTCTATTCATTGCTATGATATTCTGATGTTTATCTAATAATTAACTTGTAACAATTTTGATAAAGAATCTATTACCAGCTGAGCACGACAGCTCATTCCTGCAATCCCAGCACTTTAGTAGACAAGGCAGGTGGATTGTTTGAGCCCAGGAGTTCAGGACCAGCCCAGGCAACATAGTGAGATCTCATATCTACAAAAAGAGTAGCCGGCATGCCTGTAGTCCCCGCTACTCAGGAAGCTGAGGTGGCAGGATTGCTTGAGCCTGAGAGGTTGGGGCCGCAGTAAGCTGTGATCATGCCACTGCACTCCAGTTTGGACAACAGAACAAGACTCTGCCTCAAGGAGGGGAAAAAAGGCCAGGCACGGTGGCTCACGCCTGTAATCCCAGCACTTTGGGAGTCTAAGGCAGGCGGATCACCTGAGGTCAGGCGTTCAAGACCAGCTTGGCCAACATGGCAAAACCCCGTCTCTCCTAAAAATACAAAAAAATTAGCCATGCACGGTGGCACAAGCCTGTAGTCCCAGCTACTCAGTCCCAGGCTGAGGCAGGAGAATTGCTTGAACCAGGAAGGCAGAGGTTGCAGTGAGCCAAAATTGTAGCACTGCACTCACTCCAGCCTGTGTGACAGAGAGAGACTCTATTCCAAAACAAAAACCAAAAACCAAAAAAACCCTATTACCTAATCACCTTACTAAATGATTATGTTTAGGTTTGCATTTATCGTTTAGTGAAATTGCCAGAACTTCCAGAATAAATGTTAAATAATAATCATAGTGCAGATAGCCTTGTTTTGTTCCTAATTGCATCAGAAATGTCATTAATATTTTATCACTAAATATTAAACTGGCTACTGGTTATCATGTTGATGAAGCACCCACCTATTCTGACTTTGATACCCATTCCTTCCAAATGCTCATTTATGAAGGCTGAGCTCCACACATGGATGGGGGAGGGCTGCATGCTCTCATGGACTGACACTGGGTGCCTGGTGTCTGTGGCTGACACACCTAAACAACCCATCTAGAAGGATGCAATAGGAAAGTCTGTATGCAACCGTCCAGGAGTGAGGAACGAGAATGGGAGCCTGGCTTGCAGGCACTGCCCAGGAGGAAGGCAGGTAATGGATTCTAGGCCATCCAAGGAATAACGGGCAAAGTCTGGGAGGCAGAGGAACCAATGGGGCTTGGGGAATGGAGGGTGCGATGAGGAGACATGGAGGGTAATGAGGCGGGCAAGACCAGGAGATGAGGACTTCACACTTGGTGCTCTGGGCCTTGAGGTGCAGGAGGGTTAGAGCCTCGGAGTCCCAGGGAAAGTGTATGTTATGTCCTGGAGAAAAGCTTTCTCAAAACCTCGGGCTCTACCTCCTTGACCTTGCCTGTGTGGTTTTTTAGAGTTGGGTCTGTTACAGGCCTTCCCCCCCCACCTTAAAATGTTCAACCCACATTTTAAAAAATTTGCATTAGCTGCCAACATTTCAGAATTTGGCGGCAGGATATTAAAGATTTAGATTTCCTGCCGGGCACGGTGGCTCACGACTGTAATCTCAGCACTTTGGGCAGCCGGGGCAGGCAGATCACTCGTGGCCAGGAGTTCAAGACCAGCCTGGGCAACATGGCAAAAGCCTGTATTTACTAAAAATACAAAAATTTAGCTGGGCATGGTGGCACACACCTGTAATCCCAGTTACTCGGGAAGCTAAGACAAGAGAATTGCTTGAACCTGGGAGGCGGAGGTTGCAGTGAGCCAAGATTGTGCCATTACACTCCAGCCTGGGCGTCAGAGCAAGACTGTCTCAAAAAAATTCAGATATTCAGATTTCCTGTGCTCTCCTGAAAAATCAGGAAGACCTGCCCACTCTGTACCTTTTCTGCCCAGCAGCAATTGCCTTGAGCTGACTGGTTGCTATCTGGCCAGTTTCACTCCTTTCCTGATGTATATGTCTGATTTGGATCCTGATCTAGATCAGTGGGGAGCACCATCACCCTCCTGACACACATACATGTGCATAACATTTATATATAAGATGTAGCCAAAGGGAGTGTGTTGTACTTGTGAAAGATACTTGTAGATGCAGAACAAAGGTGGTAACGCTGGTCCCTACAATCTGCAACCTTCCACCTGGAATGCAGACAGTCCATTTGGGCATCCAAGGGAATGCTGTTAAGTCCTACAGGAGCTAGGCCATTTCCCTCGGGCCCATGATGCTTGTGAGAGAATGTGGGTGCCTTTCCTTAGCCTGACTTGCTTTCTGGAGTAAACTAGGGATTACCAAACCACTACTTCATGTAACAATGTGGTCTTATGTATTAAATCAGCAAAACACCACAAAACATCACTAGACATTACGCTTAAAAATAACATTTCTTTTGAGCAATGCTTGTTTTATTCTAATAATGTATATTAATATGGATTAGGTAAATATTTAAAATAGAAAATGATTGTGAAATAAAATTTCCTTTAAAGATAAAATAAGAAGCCAGATGCAGTGGCACACACCTGTAGTTCCTACTACTTTGGAGGCTGAGGCAGGATTGCTTGCACCCAGGAGTTTGAGACCTGCCTGGGCAATATAGTGAAACTCCCATTTCTAATAATACAGAAATCAAAAAGTAAAATAAATTAAATTACAAATATACAGAAAAGGAAATGAGAAGGGAATCAAAACAATACCCTAGAAAAAAATAAAATAAATAAAAAGCTCATTTCTAAAAGATCACCATTAAATTATAATGTAAAGATTATGTTCTTCAGCAAACCACATTTAAAAAAAAATCCATCTTTTAGCCCTAAAGATTTTCAAACACATTTCATTCACATATTTGCATTTTATAAAAAGTTACAAATTATAAAGAAATTATTCATAAACTGTTCCCAAGAACATTAAACAAACCATAGTACATAATTGGTCTCTACTACCATTTGCCTATAGAAAGGACACAAGAACTTAGAACAAAAAGAAAACATTGTCTACAGACAATATATGGCTGGTATATTTTGAGTATTTTCAACTGAAACTTGAAATGGTGAGTGATAAAAACATTTTAAAATAAGGATTAAAAGTCATCCACTAAGACAGCAATAGTCTTACCTGTAACGAACATGAAAAGAATGGTCTTCCCTCATGCTTATCAAATTTTCCTCCATTGAGGCATATTATAAGCTGAATGAAATAATTTTATTTTGTGCCAATCCAGTCATTTACAATGCAGAATTGTTTGCAGAACACTGTCCGGTTAGTATATTAATGAGTTGGTGTTAATACATCCTAAGTTCCTGTTTCTTCTTTATTAATAATGAAAGGAGGTCAATGTCAGACAGCTTTAAAGGTTCAAAATGTGTCCCAAATTCTTGCATCTCTGGCCCTTTCAGCAGCACTTCAGCAACATTTCTGCAAAAGGAATACAAGATGCTTTGCATGAAGTCCTATTTTCAAAGAATAACCTACAGTAATCCTGACCTGTACATAATCACAAGCTAACTCCACAGACTGCTGTCATGTCAATCACTACAGAAGCAAGCACAGGGCTTAACTGTCATCATGGAGTTTCTAAATAGGGGTGGAGAACTGTATAGTTTAATTTTTAAAATAGGTGTGAAATTCAATAATTGTATGTAATATTTTCTGCTATAAATGAACAGTATATTTTTTAAAAATTGCTGCTTTAAATTTTTAAAAACTACTATTAACAAATCTAATGAAAATTCAATAATTATTTGAAATAGTCAACTCCAAACTCACTAAATTTATTTCTTCAAAGAAGATATCACACTGATAATTAGGTCATAGTTGGATTCAGTTGCTCTCAAAATATATTCTACTTAAACTCTTTAAGGTCTTTAAAATGTTTTTTATTAATATTGGGTAGGTACAAAAGAAATTTAGGAAATTTATATATAGTAAAAAGAATGACACAACAAGTATTTATATAACATCATTCAGTTTAAAATAAAGAACACTACCACTGCATTTAAAATCTCCTGGATAGCCCAACCTAACCCATCTCCTTCCTTTTTCCTCTAAGATGATTTCTAAACTAAAATTTGTTCCTTATTCCTTTGCTTGTCTTTACAACTTTACCACAAATGCCTGTATAGTCCTAAATAAGATACCATGTAGTTTTATATGATTTTTCTGAACATTATATTTGAGATTCTTCTAAATTATTGTACACAGCTACAGCTTGCATGTATCATGTTCCATTGTATACCAAATATATTTTTCATTCTGCTGTTGATGGACATTTGGATTGTAGTTTTTTGCTATTATTAAAAGTATTAATGTTCACGGCACTGTACTCCAGCCTGGGTGACAGAGTATGACCCTGCCACAAAACACAACAAAAAACTACCATGAACACTGACATTAATAACTCAATGTACCTAGTTAAGGTCAGCAATGGCTCATGCCTGTAATCGCAGCACTTTGGGAAGCTCAGGCAGGTGATCATGTGAGACCAGGAGTTCAAGACTAGCCTAGACAAAATGGTAAAACCCTGTCTCTACTAAAAATACAAAAATTAGCCAGGCGTGGTGACGCATGCCTGCAATCCCAGCTACTTGGGAGGCTGAGGCAGGAGAATCACTTGAAGCTGGGAGGTGGAAGTTGTAGTGAGCCAAGATCATGCCATTGCACTCCAGCCTGGGTGATACAGCGAGACTCTGTCTACCCCTGCGAAACAACAACAACAAAAAACCCTCAATGTGCTAGTTAAGCAGCTAAAGAGAGAATGATAGACAAAAAAAATACTAAAGAGAAGTTCAGAGAAAAGGAGGACAAAATGAGCAGCTCTAAAATATATCTAATAGGAGGATGAGAAAGAAAAATAGAATAAAGGTAAAATCTTCAGTGATCAGGACTGAGAACTTTTAAATAAAAATGAATATATACCAATATATTAGAGCCACAGCACATAAGATATAAACTATAATCTCTGAGATAACAGTTGAAAAAGACAAAGGAAATATATATATATGAGATAAATTAGTAGATATACAATCATAAAGCCCTGGAATCTCAGGGTTATGAACAACCCTAGAGGTCAGCTAGTCCCCTATCTTACTATAGCATTCCTAGATAGGTCATAAAGCAGCTAATCCTAATTTTCCTATAAGAAAATTGTTCCATACTTTGAGCAGTCCTTCCATTTTTACCCATTTGTTCTTTTTCCTCTGCTGCCATATACAATAAAGCCTAATTCCTCTTCTATATAACATCCTTTTAAGTATTTCAGCTATAACATAAACCAGACTCTAATGAATACTCACTGCTCTGCTAATTAAGTACAGCGAGAGGTTAATATGGAACAGAGCAGTAAGGAGAGAGGAAAGAAGGTAGAAAGAAACAGCCTTGGGAATACTGACGAAGTTTCCTAGAGGAAATGAGGTTTTCATATTAACAACAAGTTTAGCATGCAAGAAACACAAAATATTATTCCTCTTATCCCTTCCCTTTGCCAACAAAGGAAGTGCTATCTTTTGTTGTTATTTTGTTTTTAAGAGATGGGATCTTGCTATGTTGCCCAGGCTGGAATACGGTGGCTATTCACATATGATTTATAGCACACTGCAGCCTGGAACTCCTGGCCTCATGTGATCCTCTTGCTTCAACCTCCCAAGTAGCTGGGATGACAGCTGCATGCTACAGAATTGGCCAGGAAGAGGTATTTTAAGAAATGACAAAAAGACAGGTAGCAGCTATCAACATATCAACACATCAAATCTCTTTTCCTTTTGTTCAGAATTTTATTGTGCCTCTTTTTTCCTTAATAAAACAAATAAATAAAGGGAATTAGTGTGGATACTCATAGCAATAGCTCCAAAGTGTGTCTAGATTACACAAATAGCTAAACTGGCAATGAAGTTATCTCTCGTTATCCTCTATGAGGTTTGGGCTGTTATTTATAAAATGGAGAAGAGGGGTATTACAATTAATTTACCTTAGAATTAAGTTATAGTAGGCCCTCCAGATCTGTGGGTTCTGAATAGTAGATTCAACCAACCGCGTACCAAAAATATTCAGGAAAGAAAATGAATAGTTGTGTCTCTACTGAACACGTACAGACTTTTTTTCTTGACATTATTCCCTAAATAATACCATATAATAACTATTTACATAGCATTTACACTGTATTAGGTATCATAGGTAATCTAGAGAGGATTTAAAGTTTGTGGGAAGATGTGTATAGGTTACATGCAAATATTATAATGTCTTATATAAGGAACTTGAGTATCCATGGATTTTGGTATCCTCAGGGGGTCCTGGAACCAATTCCCCACAGATACTGATATTAAAGTTAAATATTTATCTCAGCTAGGCCCGGCAGCTCACGTTGGTAATCCCAGTGCTTTGGGAGGATTATTTGAGACCAGCAGTTCAAGACTAGCCCAGGCAACATAACAAGACCCTCTTTCTACAAAAAATTAAAAAACCAGCCAGGTGTGGTGGCCTGTGCCTGTAGTCCCAGCTACTTGGGAGGCTGAAGCAGGAGGATTGCTTGAGCCTAGGAGTTGGAGGTTACAGTAACCTATGATTGCACTACTGCACTCCAGTCTGGGCCAAAGAGTGAGATCCTGTCTCTAAAAAAATAAAATAATTTTCTCATCCATGAGTTCTTAATAAAATTCTAAATATCACAACAATATAAAATGTTAATTTCATACTCATTAAGATATAAACATGTAGCATTTACATGTTTAACAAATTAATAAGTAAATAAATATAAATCAATGAAGTTTCAAAATACTTGATGAAAACTGCAGAGAGCCATTTCTAAGACCATTAAAATAAGCAAGAAGACAGAAAGAATGCTATTTACTATTTTAATAAGGTCAATTTATAATATGGTATTACTATTCTCAAAGGAAGAATATCCAAAAAAGTGCCTCTTACATTACAGTCTCCATAACAATTAGGTAGCATTTCACAAAAAAATTATTCACTGAACAAACAAGCAATTCTTGATTCATGATTCATGTTTCAAGAACTCTCTAGTCAATTTAGCAACAATGTGTTCACTCATGTTCCTCATTACGGGGAGTTAACAAACCTACTTCCCAGATACAATGTGTGTGTATACAGTGTAAGACTAGTAAAATCTGCAACAAATGTTAAATTACAAATTTGTTCATTAGGATAAGAAAATTTAATCACAGGATCAAGAATTGAAAAATAAATTATAAGTTTGAAAGGAAATTGAGAAGTCATCAAGTTCAACCTCTAACCTCCATTATAATTCACAACTAACAATCTGCAAGGAACAAATCTGTCTCTTAATAGCATCTTCCAAGCAATGCTCCAAAAACCTCACGATTAACAAAATTGCTATATCACAGCAACTAACCATAAAGAAAAAGCAATCATTTTTTTGCCATATCCCAGAAATTGACAGAAGCATAAAGAAAGATCAACTAGTACATAGCTCTCACTGCCTCACATTGAATTATCTGATTAGAAAGTCAGAATAGACTCTCTTTAGACAATTAAGTGTACTTCCAGGCACTGTCCAAGGTATGCAATCAGAGTAGACAAAAAAGGCTAACTCTTTATCAAAGAAGTCCTAGCCCTCCTTTACTCCACTGGCAGTAAAAAGTTTGCAAACCAACTTACATTTTGTGCTTCCTTGAATTTATCTAAACTATCTGATCCTGACTGCCACTTAAATGCCAAAAACTTTTGGTTTTTTTTTTTTTTTTTTTTTTTGGTTGTGTGTGTGTGTGTGTGTGTGTGTGTTGTTTGTTTGTTTTTTTTTTTTTTTTTTTTTTGGTCTGTTTCTTTCATCCATGGATCTATATAAACTGGTAACACTCATCAGACAATAAATATAACTTACTTTTCTTGCCTCCAGGTTAGATCATCTGAACTACATACTGTATAAACCTTTTTGGTAAGCGTAGCCATTTATTACTACCAATGATGGTCAGTCATCAGCTTCAATCAATGAATACATACACATGATAATTTTAAAGCTCATTAGTGAAATAGAAAAGAAATGGTCCTTTCCACTAAGCATTGTTCTTGAGTTAGTAAATGACAACAAATCACTTTTCTTAACAGGACTTTAAAAAGGCAAAATTGGCTTCAGACACTTTTTTTTTTTTTTTTGAGATGGAGTCTCACTCTGTTGCCAGGCTGGAGTGCAGTGGTGCCATCTTGGCTCGCTGCAACCTCCACTTCCTAGGTTAAAGTGATTCTCCTGCCTCAGCCTCCCAAGTAGCTGGGATTACAGGTGCCCAGCACCATGCCTAACAATTTTTTTCTATTTTCTATTTTTTCTATTTTCTATTCAACATGGTTTTCGCCATGTTGCCCAGGCTAGTCTTGACTCCTGGCCTCAAGTGATCTGCCTCCCTGGACCCCTCAAAGTGCTGAAATTACAGGTGTGAGCCACTGTACCTGGCCCAAACACATTTTTTTTTTAAATGTTTATTTTATGTACAAAGAACTATCATGGTTTTTCATGGTAGGTGTCTTGGATAATCCTTTGAAGATCATTTAGTCCAACTTAATGAAACCTATATCCTTCGCGTACTGACGGAAACACTGGCGGCACATATTGAGACCATATTTCCAGATCAAACCGTGCCGGTTTGAACAGACTCGACAAGAGCGAGAACCCTGGCTGTATTTTCGCGGGTGGCTCCAGTACAGCTGCTGGTGACCCATCTTGCTCTCAGAAAGGCAACGAGGTAAAAGGAAGGCCCAAACACATTTTTAAGCAGAAATAAATCCCATATGCAGAAAGATTATAAATGCTTAGAGAGGGTCCCTAGAGAGTTTGAGTTTAGAATTCTCCATAGGAAAACATATTAAACATGATTTTGTCTACTCTTCCCAAAAGTTGTTACCATTCTGTGGAAAAATAAATGTTTCTATTCAACAATGTTTTGAGATAATATGGGAAGAACAATTCTAACTAAAAGGGACCAGGGAAAGCTTTTTGGAAGCAAGGAAGTTTGTACTGCATACTAAAGGATGGTAGATCTTACTGGGCAAATGAAGGAAAGGCAGAAAGTCAAGGGAAAGAATGGCTCAAGAAAAAGGGAGAGGTAGAAATGCACAGAATGTGTTCAGGATAAGCACATTGGGTTCAGCATGGCATTAAAGAAGTCTGAGGGGCAGAGTAACAAATTGTGAGGGACTCTGAATATGTGGCAGAAGCACATATTCAGCCTTTTATCTGCACAGTGGTGAACCCTGCAGGATTTTTTACCCACAAAGGAATAGTCAAATTGGATCCCTGCTAGGAAGATAAACTGGCAGCAACATATAAGGCAGGAATGGGGAGAGGGGTGGGGAAACAACTACTGAATAGGAAGCATTCTTTTGTCATCTCACAACACCAGACATTGCTTTGCACATAAGAGATGCCCAACAAACTTTTATTTCTTGCCTGGGAAGAAGATAGAAATTATGGCGAGGCCAAAGAACCCTGTAATAGTGAGAAAACCGGACAGTAATACATTTCTTCTCCACAGTAAAGATTGTATTCATATTTATGTAAAAAACTCAGAAAAGTCTTACTCTTCACTTACAAATGTTTTGTATAAAAATGATTAAAAGGATATTGAAAATATGTGACCGGTAAGATGATTTATAAGATAATGAAGCAAGACAGTTCCAGCAGAAAGACTGAAATATTTCTGCCAAGCTACAACAAAACACAGCACCTACAGACATCTTTAAAGTAGAACTTGTCCCTGCAGATGGAATCCAGAGACACAGCAGAGATTTAAATGGACACACAGAAGCAATACAGCATGTGCTTTGGGATCAGGCCATGATTTGAATCTCAGCACAGTGACTTACTAGTTATATGATCTTATGCTAGTTAAACTCTCAGTTGGTGTGGGCATACTGACACTTACCTAACATGTCTCGTGATAATCACAGACATGATTTATAAAGCATCTGACCCAGGACCTGGCTCTGATACACAACAAAAGTACTCAACATAGTGCTGTAGTAATAACAGTAACTGTTATTACAGCATAGACATATTTAATACATCTATTAAAATAAATTTAGAATAATCTAAATCGATGTCAGGTTTTCAATTTTAAAATTCCAGAGAGCTAATTACAAACATTTTTAGATAGATGTTAGAAATACTTTATGTTTATGAAAAAGTCATTTTTAAAACTACGTACTGGCCCGGCGCTGTGGCTCAAGCCTGTAATCCCAGCACTTTGGGAGGCCGAGGCGGGTGGATCAAGAGAGGTCAAGAGATCGAGACCATCCTGGTCAACATGGTGAAACCCCGTCTCTACTAAAAATAGAAAACATTAGCTGGGCATGGTGGCATGTGCCTGTAATCCCAGCTACTTAGGAGGTTGAGGCAGGAGAATTGCCTGAACCCAAGAGGCGGAGGTTGCGGTGAGCTGAGATCGCGCCATTGCACTCCAGCCTGGGTAACAAGAGTGAAACTCCGTCTCAAAACAAAAAAA